TAATATATATATATATATATATACATACATACATACATACATAAAAGACCTCCCAGCCCATTGTTCCTTCAGTGGGCTGGTTTCAGTCATTATGCAAATGTCCTGTTTATAAGATCGGGGAAACCTGCAGTCAGCTGAGACTGAAGAAGTCACTTGGATGATGACGAAACGTTTCTTGAAACGCTACGTCCAGATTAACAGAATCAACTTTTGGAGTAAAGAGCTAAAGTTATAGCAGTATAATGTGGTTGTTTCTGTTCTGGGGACAGTTTGCAATTTACCATTGTACTCTCATCCTTTTGTAAAGTGATGTCTATATCCACGCTGTGTGGAAATAATCTGTGTTTGAAATAATCTACCTCTGTTTAAAACAATGCTGTTAAAAGATGAATAAATTAATTCCTACTGTAGTATTTCCTTGCTCTTAAGAGTTCTCACCTGTAAAATGATAATTTTACTGTTCCATTTAAAAAGTTTAGTAAAACCTCTGCAAACTGGCACTTTTCATTTGCTGTTTCAGTGCTCATCATCCTGTGGAAAGGGACTGCAGTCACGGGTGGTTCAGTGTATGCACAAAGTGACTGGTCGACATGGTAACAACTGCTCTGTGATGCTGAGACCACCAACATATCGATCCTGTCACAGTGGGAACTGTGATGAGAAAATTAATGCGAATACCATCACCTCCCCTAGGCTAGGTGAGACACTGATCGCAACTGCAGTTTGCATTTTTAAAGGATAAAGAGATGTTGCACACAGTACAGATTCACCTTTACCTACTGAACAGCTAAAGCTTCCTCAAGTTGTAGAACACCAAGAAAACAGCTGCTTTGTAGTTTAAAGAACTAAGAGAGACAGAGATTAATAATAAGTACGATTTAATGCAGAGAGGTCTGTTAATGCAGAGGTTCCCAAAGTGTGGAGCCCACAGAGCCATTGCAGGCGGGGCGCGGTATGAAAAGAAAAAAAAAATGAGGACACTGTCACCATAATTGACAGGTTTTTTGACGGGGCTCCCACACAAAAGCAAAGCAGGAGATGAAGCATCGCCAAATATGTTCCCAGGTGGTGGTGGGGGGGCACGAACATTTTTCTTGTAAAACAAAGGGGACCTAGCAAAAAAAATTTGGGAACCACTGTATTAATGCATTTTGAGTGAGAAAGGTGACTGACGAAGAAATACTCATGGGAATCCCCCCACAGCCTACACCTGTTGCAGCATAACTAAGGGAGGATTCAGAGTTACCTGATCCAGCCCTAACTATTTGCTTTAGCAAAAAGGAAAGTTCTAAGCATAAAGAGTCTGCAACTGACTGCTCTTTTATTTGTGTTACCTGTTGAAGTTCAGTGTCTGGCTGTTGGGCTAGTGTCAGCAAACACTCGGCTCTAGCGTCACTCTGGTTTCTTGGCTAGCTAAGCGTTAGCATGCTAGCTGGCTAACTTAGCATTAGCATGCTGCCTGTCCAGATGCTTGCAAAGAGCCAAATGTGTGTTTGCAGCATAATGGAGTTGTTTCTGTCCTGGATACAATTTCCACTTTACCATGCTCTTATCCATTTGTGCAATAAAAATTAAAGTTATGTTCCCATCCATACTGTAGCCTGAACCAGTGAGAATTGAAATCAGCTGATTGTAGTGCTAATGCAAATTGAACCGGTAAATGAGATTGATAACAGTTCCAAGGAGTTGGACGACTGGGAACCGGTTCTCAATTCCATCTCTACATGCATATGTACTTGAGTGACAGTCCATTCTTTATTTAACATGATGTTGTCCTACCCTATGCAGCTATAATAGCTTCAACTCCTCTGTGAAGGCTTTCCACAAGGTATAGGAGTATGCTTATGGGAATTTTTTTAACTATTCTTTCAGAAGCTCATTTTTCAGGTCAAACAGAAGGCATGGCTGTCAGTATATATGCTCTAGTTCCTAAAAGTGTTCTATCTGGTTGATGTCAGGACTCAGTTAAGTTCTTCCACACCAAACTGGCTCTGCGAATGTTTCTATAGACCTTGCTTTTTGCACTGGTGCACAGTCATGTTGGAGCAGGAAGGAGGCATTCCCAAACTGTTCCAACAAAGCTGGTAACCTGAAATGGAGAAGCGTGATTCAACACTCCAGAGAACACGCCTCTACTGCTCTACACTTGGTGGTGTAAGGCTCGACCATAGAAACCCAAACTGTTATTGAGCTAATCTGAAGACCCCATGAAGTTTAGAGGTCTGTAGCAACTTTGCAGAAAATTGGCTGCCCCTGCGCATTATGTGCCTCAGTATCCACTGACCGGGATGCTGGCCTAACACTTCATGGCTGAGTTGCTGTCATTCACAGTCGATTCTGCTTTGCCACTAACTGTGGAATATTTAGTAGCATGGTGCTGTGATGGGATGCACAGGTGGCATCCCATCACAGCACCATGCTGGAATTCAATGAACTCCTGTTTGCAGAAGCATTCTGCATGCCTAGGTGCTTCACTTTACACGTTTGTGGTTATGTGGAAGTGATTAGAACATCAATTATTTAGGTGGGTTAACATTTTTGGCAATATAATTTAATTACAAGCCAAAGTAGTATAATGGGGAATTAAAAGAAATGCTTAGGAGGACATTGTTAGAACTTAAGTAAATATTTTTGACAAAAATGGAATGATCCCACTCAATTTGTCACACTGGTAAAAAGATACGATTGATTGCTGGGAAGGCATTGCTAATGAAGTACACTTTTATTAACATTTAACAAGACTCTCACATCTCCTAAATATACTGAATTGCTGCTTTCTTCTCTTCCACCCCAACAGCTGCTCTGACCTACAAGTGCTTGGGGGACAGGTGGACAGTGTACTGTCATGTGATCCGGGATAAAGACCTTTGTCAGGACATGAGGTGGTACCAACGATGCTGTGAAACCTGTCGGGTCTTTTATGCCAACAAAATACTGCACAAGCGCTAATAACCAAAAGCACATACTCCCTTTTAAATGTTATATAATACTGATAAATACAGAAAATCTTTGGGTTTTTTTTATTTAAAACAAAAAAAGGTAAGTATACATAAATGTATACTGGAAACAAGAATATGTAGCTTGTAATTTTAATGCACATTAGAAAATATCTGATATTTCACTTGCTGTAGACAAAAACAAAGAACAAACTTTATTGTACGCAGCAAGTGACAAATGTGTGTTGTATAATAACCTGGCAGGTCCACTAAACAACATGTGATTCAGAGTCAGCATGAACTTTCCCCTCTCCTTCTTTTGTATTGTTTCTGTTATATAGCAGATTTCAAATCATTGGTCACTTTTTTAATGTTTAAGTAACATTATGTAAGTATTAATAAATTACTGTAATATGTGCCTATGATCAGGAGCCATTGTAAAATACTGTAGAACTCTACTGAATCACTCCGGCTTATAATAGAAGACACACTGATCTTACTCGGGTGTTTTAAAGCTAATGTAGCAGATGAAAACAAATTCTGGAGCTCTGGTAGTGTTTGGTTTGCGCTCAGTCATTCTCCACCACCCTAAGGGGGTTATTCCATTTTGACCTTGGGACTTCTAGGCTTTATTTGGCACACATATCCCTGTATGCTATGCCAGCCATGCGGTTGTGGCATTCATGCATGCCCTGCCTGCTAGCATCTTGGGACCTCTTTGCACAGCCTGCACCTGAGGTCTTGCCTGGTGTGGTAGATCCCAGCCTCTATCAATCTGGCTTGTTCCTGTGCAGACATGATTAGTGCCTCTGTGCCTCTACTTGCTCTTCTTATTTCTCAAGTTACTGCTGCCTGAGATATTCAGAGCTGGTTGGTTTTGGTGATGGTCACACCTTGAGAGCGTACTTCACGTAATCTTGGTAATCGACCAAAAGGGTCCAGTTTTCCAGCTGCCATACTGAACACCTTGAACGCATCAGTTTTTTTTTGGGGGGGGGGCTTGGTATCCATCTCAGAGGGTGGGGATCACAATATCTCGTCCTGACCTAAAGTCCTGGCTTCCCCTCGCCGTAGCGTTCATGTACCTCATTGATCTCTAGTTGTGATAGCAGTTGCTGTCAATTGTGATCCTGGTAGTTTGTGTTTTTTATAAAGTTGTGCAAAGGAATTAGGTCAGCTAATGTTTTTTAGTTTGATAGTAAGATTTTACAATTCAATCATTTAAACTGCCTGCAGTGATCAGGAGCAAGAATATTACGGAGCCCCGCAGGGGACATGGGAGAAAAAAAAATTAAGATGGATGGAGATCTCGCAAAACTAACTCGGGATCTCGCAAACATTTTAGCCGCATTCTTCGGACGCTGGCTCGAGGCCGACCAGGAGGTTGAGGCACGATGTGCCGGGAAAACGGTGTTCCTCCCGGCTGTAGCAGGTCTCGACCTCCCGTTAGCTTCGAGCTAGATCTCGAGCGAGATCTCGCAAAAGTTTTGCGAGATCCCGAGTTTGTTTTGCGAGATCTCGCAAAAGTCCGTCTTAATTTTTTTTTCTCCCATGTCCCCTGCGGGGCTCCGTAGAATATAACTATTTCACTAGCAGTATCTGATTAGATGCACCAAGACCTGATGCTAGTTAACCTGTATAGTTGCATATAGAGCCAAACACACGTCAGAACCAGTATTTGTTGTAGACACAGCTGACAGTTCTGTTCAACCTGTTCAAACCTCACTGGTGCTGCTTCTTCCTCTTTTAAAATTGCCAATCAAACGTTATAAGCGCGTATTTTCCTCAGTATAAGGTGCTCAAAAGAACATCAGTTACTAGTGTGATTATTATCCAGATAAAATAGCCAGATATAATATTTTTTCTCAAATGGCCAAAAAATGTAATACTTGATCAATTTCATGGGGTCTTTAATGCTTTTAGCTGTAAGACTAGAAGGTGCTGTATGAATGCCAGTTCATTTCCCTTATATAGTCAGGGAGAACACATGCGTGTTGGTGTGTGTATCATCATTTGATAAAAGTTCATAAACGTGTTTTACAGTTGGTTGAATGGTGCTATCTTATAACTTCACATTTGTGGAATTCAGATGATGTCCGTGTATGATCCTCACAATTAATGGCTGTCTGCTTTTATTTGTTGGTGGATTGATACCATTGTTTTGACAATACTTTTTTTCTTATGGTATAAATATTCTTTTTTATTCTTGTACTGTTCTTTGTTAGTTGCACATACACCATGTTTGATTAATAAAGTTTCAATAGAAAGTGTTTTTCACCGTGCTGATTGAGAGCTGGGTATTTGTGTATGCATGCATTTGTTTGTATATTCATGCATAAAGACGTGTCATAGATGGTTAATTTAATAAAATGAAAATTATACTTTCTATGAAGAATACTGTATGTAATATTAAAAATATTTTATGCTGTGATTTAAGTATCTTTTATATTTATGAACATTTTTGCCTGAAACTTGATTAAAGGTTTGTGACGTGCAGCTGAAAATTCTGAAAAAGCCTAGAAAGTGCTCTTTTTTTAAGACTAAATGTAAATCTTGAAATTTGACATTTTTTCATATTTTAGAATTCACTTATAAACAGTGAGATATGCTGGAGGTAGAAACTGCATTTTGTGTTGACTTGTGTCTAACAATTACATTTTTTGCTGGTCATCAATTTATGTGTGATAAACATATAAAAAATAGGAAATCAGGAAAGGTTCAAACACTTCTCGACA